TGAAAAAAGTGAAGGGGGTCTGAATACTTTCCAAATGTACTGTATTTGGATGGCTTTTTATTATTATTATTATTATTATTCTGTGACTCGCCAGGAAGCCATATTAATAATTTTGATAACAAGGTGGAAGAAGAACAAGGGAAATTTAATGTGTTCTGTGTGTCTTAGGGGAGGTGATGGCATTTAGTTAGGATCCTAACACTTGGATTTTTAGAACGTCTATATAAGAGGCCTGACTTGGATTGGAGACTGTGAAGAAGTTAGAAAGCTGTAGATTAGATTGGGAAATTAAAAAAAAAAATCTCAGAAGATGGCAAAGCTTTTACACCGTTGCTAAAATCTCCATGTACAAATGCTGTGTAGTTGCCAAGAGTTGAATCTGACTTGAGGCATCTCTCGCCCTTTTTTATCAGATGTTTTGAAATGATACTTTTTATTAGGACTATGTAGTGCTTTGGATTCAAAGGGAAAAAGTGATTTGGCATGCACTTTGAAAGGAAAGATGCATATGGAGTTCTTGAGAGGCACTATGTGAGTGCTTCTGTGTACCCTGAAGTGCTACACAGCTCTATTACTTATTTACAAAAAAACAGAAATGTTGATTGGTTTCTGTTACTTCATTTAGTTACCTTCACTTCCTCTTTTTGGAGGTATGTTGCCATACCCATGGCAATGCAGACTGCTTTTGTTCTGATTATTTTTTATGAGGCTCCCTGTTTAATATCTACCAAATTCCCTTTACTAACACCAGCATTTTCTCTCTGAAGTGCAAATTCTTGAATTAAATGTCTCATTTTTATGAAGACATGATTTTGGTTTTGAGTATTCATTTGTTTGTCCAGACAGAAATTTCCTTGTGTTCTGTTTTGGGAAGAATGACATATCCTGATTTGGTATTTTAAAGAGAATACTTAATAAATTTAGAATTCCGCATTTGAACTGAAACTTGCGTTTCTGTTTTTCAAGAAAGAACCATACAGAAAGTGATCTATGGTGCAGGAAATCGCATTAGTAACTGACTCAGAAATCCTCTAAACTATATTTTTTTATTTACATCACAAAAGCTTTTGGGCTTCCATCAGTTCTCCTGGGATGTCTGCTTATGACAGGAAATGGATAGAAGGAAAGCTTTTGATGAAACAAGACAGAACTAGAAAACTGTCTATTGCCTGAGTATTTATAATCTAATGTTAGGAATCCATGTGTAAGGACTAGCAGCATTTATAATTTTTAAGGGCTTAAAATTGAAGACATACAGAGATTAAAAAACAAGCCATTTCCTGCCTGAATGCTTATGATCTAGTATAGTTTTCCACACAAGAAGAAAAGGCAGTGGGAGGAAACATATTCAAGTTTTCTTTAGCAAAAACCCAAAACCAAGTAAATCTCAGTGGAATTAGGAGAACCTTAGATGCTGCTACGTATGTCTCAGTGGAACTGCTCTACAGCAATTGTGTTGCTGAAGCTGTACAACTGTTAACACTGGTATTTCCCCCAATACAGCAGACATAGGCATATCAATTGAAACGCTTACAGTATACAAATTAAAAGCTGTGGCAAATGTTCATCTGTGATGCCCGAACATGACTTCCTTTCTCTGCACCATAGTTTGCCTCCTTTAGAAAAGTCTCTTCAGGAAGTGGATGGCTTCCCATCCTGCTTATAGCATCTTCATGGAGATCTGGGGAATCAACTTCACATTTAAAAGAACTGGCTGATATAACCCAACAGCACTTAAGGAATACAATGTGGATTAGATTTATTGTTTTAATCTAGCCTTATTAGTCCTTAGAAAATTTTAAGACAGTTTACAAAGTGTAAATAATTGTTTAAAAAAATTAAGCGCATAAAACCGAATGTATTAAGCATAATTAAAAGTGCCTAAAAGGAACATCAGGCAATTATGTGTTACCTTGTTGAAGCCACTGAGTGTAGAAAGAGACTGATACTGGCTTATTTGCCAACAAGAAAGCCTTTGCGTCTAGCACACACAGATGCAGTTTGGTGCCTTTTGCTATGTTGGATTGTAACTCCTCTCCATCTCTGTGTTTGGGCTGTGCAGCAATCTGGATTCAGAGGGCAAAACATGATTTGGAGCCTGGATATGGAACATAGCATTTCTCAGAAATTCATTAAACCAAATGTGTTTTTTTCTGGGGATTCTATGTGAATTGAAGAGGGAAGTTATGCAAATTCAGATAAAAAGGCAATTACGTTAATGTATTCCCAGCAGGTCCTGTTATATACCCATGCGTGTTTCGCCTTATATTTTGCCCTTCAAATCTGAAGCTCTTTTCAGCTCTGCTATGCGTATCATCTTGTATTAGTCACAGACCTGGTTTGTATAAAACACCAAGTTTATTTACCTTTGGTTCCCTTGGTTTTGGATTTATGCGTTATGTAATCCTAGCCACTGTGGTTTGTAAATTATGGTGTATAGTTTAGTATAATCTGTATAATCCTAGTTTCTGTGGATTCTTCAGGAAAATTATCGTTTAAAAATCAGTTAGTACAGTGTGTGAGTGCAGCCATTGCTCTGTAACTGTTTCATGTTTCTCCTTCACAACATAATGTCAAATAAGAATGCCAACATGTTACAGTCTGGTGGAATATAGTATGTTGTATATCTTTGTTCTTGGTTCATATATTTGAATTCCTTGAAACTGTGTTGCATATATAGCTGAGGTTCATGAACATTACTTGGTCTGTTTTTGGCTTGTGTTACATTTAAAAGAAGTCATGAGACGACAATATTAGCTCAAAGCTTTATATTATCTAAAAAATACAGTGCTATTTAATTACAAAGCATTCAGTTAGATTTTTTTTCACTTTGTCACATGTACCACAGTCTACGTAAGGAGTTCAGTGTTTAGAATTGTTGATCCCTCCTTTTTGCCTTATATAGAACATAGTATCCAAACTGCATTCTTAAATGAGTTTCAATCTTTTAGTCAAGAAATTGGTATTTATAAATTAGCTGACCTTGAAAAAATCTATTTAAATATCTATTGATTTATTAAAAGATATAAATAGTGGTTTCACTGTACAAGCATAGAATTTTGTATTGGTACAGAATTCAGTAACTGAATAATTTCAGCATTCCTATTTTTTATTTTATTTCAAAAAGCAGTTTTCTAATCCTTACATTTGTGAAGGCAAGCATAAAGGTATTAATGGACAATGTCTGGTTAAACAAGAATGGAAGTGGAGCAGAGTAAGACTTAAATGTCCACAAAGTGAATTATTTTATTATTTCACTTTCTGTCTGTATTCCAGATTAATAGATAAGTTTCAACAGGATAAGCAAATAGAATCTATGCAGGAAACTGAAGAATTAACTTAGCACAAAACTTTTGAATATCCCATCGATTGCACTGACTGCTGATAATAAATCATGAAAGCCTCTGCATTGATATGCTCACTGACAGAATTTCGGTTGCATTTTCTTGCACCATTTGTGCAAGTATATTGATTGTGCTTTGAATTCTCTGAAAGGATGCATTTTATATTCTGCTAATTTGGTCTTATAGAAATGTATGAGTGTGTGTTTTATTTTCCGTTATCTAAGCTACTGATGCTCCCCAGTGGACCCATGGGGCAGAAATAAATTTAAATTCAGAGTTGGGTTTGTTTGTTTGTTTTGCAATAACTTGGATTTCTCTTGGCACTTATTTAAGATAAAAATACTATTTATTAAGATATTAATAAAGATTTGAAATGTATTTGTCGAACAGTATTGTGTAAGGCTCAGTTCAAACTTGCTTAGTAAAAAAAAATCTTGCTGATTCTACAGATAGGTATAAGTAATGAAGATGTTCTTTGTGGCTGAAATACATAAATTTAAAACAAATATTTGTTTTAGATTCAAGTATCATGTAAATGGCATACAAAATGTAGAAGAGATAGCAGCGTGAACAGATTCAGAAGGGCTTTTCGGTGGGCCCATTTTTTATGCTGTAGCATTCTCTATTAAATGCTGTTCAGGCCTGCAGCGAAATAAATGCTGCAATTCCTGTATCACTGTCATTGTAGAGTGCAGGACACCCTTGTGACTGGTAGTGAACCAAATCATGATAAATCAAATTGATGCTGCTTTTGAAATTGATGCCATTTCACGCTGTAAAATAGATGTTTTATATGAAGGAGTCTCTTTGTTCTAGGATCTTGCAGTCTTTGCTAGGGAGAAAGGCATGAAGCTCCATATTTTGATTCCCCAAATGATACTGGAACTCTGATTACATCCAGACTGGTGCTTAGCTATAGAAGACCTCTTAGAAGGGTGACACAAAAGTTACTGTTGTAAAATACTTAAAATCTATTGATCCAGTACGGGCATCTTAGCAAAATATTTATTTCTGAATGAGGTTAATATACCTTATGGTTTTACATTTATGGCTGCGATCCTCTACCTACTAAAGTGGTATAAATACAATTGAATTTGGTGGGATTTACTTCTGCATAAATTTATAGGATTATTCTGGAAAGATATTCAAATTAAGATACTTTTTTAAAAAAGGATAGCATTTTTAGAGCATATTTTAGATTCTTTTACAGCAAAAGATTCCTCCACAGATATTGGTAATGGGCCTTTATCTCAATACCAAAGATTTGCTAAAGGTGTAGTTTAGAGCAGTGATGGCAAACTTATGACACACATGTCAAAGATGACATGCCACAACATTTTGGGTGACATGTCAGCATTCACCAACACCCAGCAAACAACTATTTTCCCTGTTTGAGTTACCAAAGAAACTAAATTTGCTTTACTCGTATTTCATTTTTGTAATTATTTAACGTTTCTTTATATAATACATAGCACCACACATTATTGGACTGTATTTTTTTAAAATAAATGAATAGATAATGAATTGTTTGTCTTTTGTTCGGGGGGGTGACACGCCAGCAGAGTCAAGTTAGGCATTTTCCGAATTTTTGACACACCAAGCCCAAAAGGTTCACCATCACTGGCTTACAGCTTTTTGAAATGCAGTTTTTTAAGGCAGACTGTAGGTTTGGTTCACTGTTAAATGTATAACCTCTGAACATACCTTCAAAATGATATATAGAAGAATGCTTAATGTTCTTTTTTCTCTCTAAGATAGAGCTGCTGCATCATCCTCAACATAGTAGACTTTTTTTTAATGGTAGCAGTGTTATATTCTGGTACACTATGAGAAGTTCCTGGCAACTAAAATCATCAGCTTCATTCAGACGTAATAATAAACCATGTTTAATAATCATCAAAATAAGCTGAAATTAGTTTTAGGTCTTATGTATCCTTTCCTCAAACAGTGTCCAGATGTCAGAAGGGTTCATTTCACAAATGGACGTAATCATTAGGTCTGAATTAGCATAATTCAGTTTGAACTAGTTTGAACTATAATTAGTTAAAAGAAGTCAGCCATTAACCATTGTTTAGAAAATAGGCTTAATTAACCAGAATTTAAGATCAGATATAATATTTCAGTTGAATTACTTTAAAATGGAAAGAAAAGATTCCCACTCCATCCTCTTAGTGATGCTGGGTGAGGACAATGGTGCAACTGTGAATCCAAGGTCCTTGTATATACATTCTTATTTCATCTGAACTAGGAAAGTGTTATTTTCCTGGTGTCTTTTAAGTTTCAGCTTGCATAATATTGTTTTAGGTTGTAAGAGTCAGACCTGTATTTCTCTGTGGCACATGCATGTACAACTATCTGATGCAATGTCTTTCATTCAGTCTTAAATTAGCCCTGCTTGGTGGCAAACATTGTTTATCTAAAGTGAATCTGACAAACCTAAGTCACTTGATCTCAATAGGTAGCTAGTAGAATCTGAACTGTGCAGGTTATTGTATCTACAAATCTGTAAAAGTATATTATTTAATTTTGTTTAGGAATATGAAGCACGGATAGGAAAATTGTGTAAACCTGCACCCCAAGCAACAAGGCGTAGACATTTTGAATTTGAGCCACTTTCAACCACTGCTCTTATTCTGGAGGATCGACCATCGTAAGTCCCTGTGGATTCTTTTTACAAGTGTTTCAGTGTCAGATCAAAAACTAAGCTGAGGTAGATACTCAGGTAAATTATGCTTGAATGCCCCCATTTCCAAAAGTAGTGACACTTAATTTTTTGTGAATATAATATATAGGTATATGCAGTGGGAATAATTAAAAGTACTTTAAAAATACTTAATTTAAAAATAAAGAAATTATTCCATAGCTATTCACATTAAGAAAATTAAAACCTATCTTAGTAGGAACTGCAATAAAATATCTTAATTTTAATAAGCATCAATTGAGAAAACTTTCTTTAGCTAACCATCATGTTCTATTCTGTAGTCTATTGGAGCACAATCTAATATTGTTTTTGCATGTTTGACTGTAGAAGAGTTGCAACAACAAAGTATGTACTCATGACAAAGCTTTAAATAATTGCTTTATTTTTAAGGTTAGACAAACCATTTAAAAATCTAAGTTGGTACAACTTTGCTGCATAAGTATTAGGCTTTAATGTTAGCGTATTTCTGAGGAACTGTACTTTATACAATTGACGTGCTGCTGAAAATAATCCTGTTTGTAAAGCAACTGATAATACTTTCTTTGGAACTATGTTTTTGAAACAAATTACATTTTTGAAATATACAAAGATTAAATAATGAGACCAGCATTTTTATCACTTTTTAAAATAAATATTGTCTATTCTGCATAGAGTTGATAAATTCAGACTGATTTGGTGAAGTAACTTGTTGCTTGTTTATTTTTATTTTATTTAGAACATTTACATGTCCAAGATCTGTATGTGAAAGATTCAAAGTATTTGATATTTTGTATTTTTCTATCAAGAGTCCTTTTTGGGATTACAGCAAATTGGCTGAAGTCAACTGAGAGGTGTGGAGGACTTGGGTGGATAAGAAGTAAACAGTCAAAGATTTATAGGACAACAATTAAGCATGAAACCTCTAGTAAGAGTAGAAGTAGACATTCATGTGTTTTATACCTTGCTCTTTCAGTGTTAATGCTGGTAATATACTTGGAAAGATTCTTTAGAGACCAGAGCATGTAACTTTGCAGCTTTCTGTTTGCCTGAGGCACGTATTAGTTGTCCACATATATAGGGCTATCACATCTCTTCTCCTTGTAGAGAGCTTTTTTCATCCTCTAACCAGCTTTTTTTTCCAAATCACTAATTAGAACAGCAACAGAACACTTTCTAAAATCCTTGAATATTTCTTTTAAGGACAGTACTAAAGTTTGGTTTGGGAGGAAGTTATAATTTCAGGAGGAGGAAATTATTTGAGTGATTGGGGTAGGAGTTAGCTGGAAAGCAACACTGGAGCTCCAGGACTTTGGTAGTGAATTATTTTACAACAGGGATGGATGGATGGATGGATGGATGGATGGATGGATGGATGGATGGATGGATGTCAGAATGGATATGTAGAGTTTGTGTGGAAGGGATGTGGCTCTGTTTTTGAATGCTTTGGAAATAGGCACATCTCTCAAATGTTGATGGGTAGTTGAATAACGAAAACTGTGATGTCGCATAGTATACTGCAGATAGTTTATATTGATGACTAATTATATTATACCACAGTGGTCTACTGCTTTGGTTTTCATGGTACCATTATCTTTTTGGTCTTACTTCTGCATATACCTGCACTGGTATATTTTTCTCCACGTCCCCTTAGAACCTATGATGGGATGTCTTAATAGACAGTTTTCAGCACCCTTATTCAACTACCGTTTTCAGGTCTCTTTTAGATAGAACAGTAATAATCCCATATCATTTCAGATAATCCTTCAAATATCCTTGGGGCAAATTGGTCCAGATGTGCACCTTGCATTGTATCCAGAAACTAAACTGTTTTAGCACAAAATCATTTAGTTCAAATTATAATTTGTTCCATTATTTGTAATTAGACTTGCTTCTGAAACATTAGTTATACATTCTTATGTAAAATACTTGTGATAACCTGTAAGACAAAGAATCTGTTGGGAATAAGTACAATTCAAGCACTCCTTTTTTAATGTACTGTATGGAAAATTTAACAAGACTTTAATCTGATTAATCTATTCAGTACTTACTTACAATTCTTTCCAGGAATCTTCCTGCAAAATCTATGGAGGAGGCTTTACGTCACAGACAAGAATATGATGAAATGGTGGCAGAAGCAAAAAAGAGAGGTATGTCTGATCTAATAATCATTAGATTAATATCTAATTTATCTGATTTAATCAAGCTTTAAAACCTGGCTTGTTACAGAGGCACTATCCTGTTTATAGTTAAAACACAACATTCTTCCAAGTATTATGGATTATTTTTACTACTTCAGGACCATGTGTATGCTACAAAAGAGAATTTAATTTCCATGATTGATTGATTCATATTTAAAACTCAAACCCTGAATTATAATTACTCATTAGTGAGTATATACATTCATAATCTACAGACATAGGTAAAGCTTTTTAAACATGCTTGCTTCCTCATATGTGTATACATGGACACACTGTATTATATATATTTGCTGACTATTCTGGGAGAAGAATTTGTAGTGTGACTTTCTAGATGGTTTTATAAATTTAAATATGTGTACTTTTTAATATATTGTACTCAAGAACAAGTAAAATGTGCAGTATATGAATATGTACATGAAGAGGTCCACTTTTTTCTATCCTCAGTAATCTTTCTCAGAATAGCATTCAGTAGATCCTTCATGAAACCAAAAAACAGCCATCTCCTCTCATGTGTGAACCATATTTATATATTTTGCACAGTATGCATTGTTTGTATGATCTGAAACTGTATCTTGTTTGATGTAATATAGATGTGAATATTAAATTACTTCATGATGTGATCTTTGACCCTCTTTGTCAAACTGATCATCTTTGAGAGTAAGCCTGTGGTGCTAGTTATAAAACGTATATACTCTTGATACTTTATGTGTATGAAAGAGATGGTTTGCTTCTATCTAGCAACAAGATATTTGCTACATAAAAGAAACATAATCTGTGTTTCCATATTTCAGTCCCAATTATGCTACTAAACCGGATTCATTGCATCCTTTATTTTTTTTCATTCGGCTTGATTTGTGGCAAATTACACTATATTTGATCACACAGAACTCTTTATCTTTTTTTAAAAAAACACAAGTATTTAAAACAATTGTAAAACAGAACATAAAGCAGCTAATGTGGATTACTACATATTTTCAGGGTCAAGTGGGAGCTTTCAATATTGTGACTTTTCAATTCCATCTATGTACAATTGTACAATTGTGGCTCAGAGTATAGTTATAAATATTCCGATGGGTCAAGAAATGAAGTTGTAATTTTTTTTTTAAATGTACTATGACATCAGCTTCTATAAACTATAATCAGGGCCTTTTTAAGATTCTGAGAGGCCCAGGAGCAAAATTGATGTTCTTTTTGTTCATTGAAGTTATAATTGGGAGTATATGAGGAACTACTGAAATAATTGTTTCCATTATATTTTAACAGATTGCTTTTGCTGGCTTTGATGAATAATACTGATCCGCTCATTTTGAAATACTAAATTATACTATGGATGGGGGATGGGGGCCCCACTATTGCTGGAACTTATGGCAATTGTCTCATTCTTTAAAAATCATTAGATCCTATATTACCCTGCCCTGGTAGGAATATACATACAAAGGTTTATAAGGGAAACATGTGAAAAGTGGGATTATATGGCAGTGAAATGAAAGAAGTACAGTCTGTGACATTTTAATAATTCAAAGTATAGATGGTGGCACAAACGTTTCTCTGATGTATACCATTTATTTTATGCTTTTTCTCCTCCTCCATCCCTATGCCTATATACAGTTATTTAGGTAAGGTAATATCTCATGATATGAAGTAGATTCTAATCTAAGAAAATTTACTCATTTTAAATAATATTACTGTCCAAGGGCACCAATGTGCTCAAGGCAGTTTTCCTTGACGTCTGCCAGACTTTGTGTCTTGATATGTAAAAATGACATTCCGAATCTAATATGACTAAGTAGATTTTCAGTCACAAAATGTTGACTGTAAGATGTGTGCAAAACACTTCACCCATAGAAATGTAACATGTAAATGTAAATGTTCTAATTTTTCTCCAGATCATGCCCCTGACAATTCCAGGTGTTATGGGGCAATTTCCCCCCAGTAAATCTTCTAAAATAAGGAAGTGAATTATGGTGTTCAGAATTTACTTCTAGAAAACAGCTGGAAACCACCCTTGGGAATGTCCAGTAGAAAAAACAGAACATTCTAGAATTCTTCAGAATGTTTCTTTTCTGGAGATGGAACACTATGCACATACCTGTTGACTTTTTCTTGTACAGATATTGAAAAAAGAGCTACAACAGTGTAACAAATTCATTCATTCCCACTATTATTAGATTTATCTCTGCTAAGTGCTGCTTTACATAGTAGATATGTATGTATGTATATGTATTTATATTTAAGGGACCCATATCCTTTAATTATCTAATATTTGTTTTAAACATAGCTTTTTGATGTCACATTGCATTTAAAATTCTGAATTTAATAGAAATTAAAGAAGCTCATCGAAGGAAGAAAATAATGAAAGAACGCTTCAAACAAGAGGAGAATATTGCTAGTGCTATGGTGATTTGGGTCAATGAAATTCTGCCTAATTGGGAGAGCATGTAAGTGTAGAATTTTATGTGTATACATGGACAC